GATACTACCTAAGACAAAGCAACATTAAACATCACTAGACTTAGCAAAAACACAATTAGACAACCACTTCAAAAATGAATCAAATAACAAACTAGACTACAAGACAGATGAGCTGCACCATCAAGGAAGCCAACTGAGGGGTGATATGTTACCTATTTCAACGATTGATAGCAGTTCACAAAAGAGAGATGGCCGTTGGAGAGAGAAAACTGGTGAAGATAAATATGTTAGAGAGAAACTGCTGGAGAGAAAAAAATGTCAGAGATAGCCGCTAGTGAAGGCAATACATTTTCTGAACATGCAACTCAAGCAAGCTAACAGAGATAGTCGCTGACTTGCCGGTGAGAGAACCATCGGAAAAAAAGCCGTTGGAGAGAGTTCCCTTGGAGAAACCCTAGGTTGGAGACTTGGAGAGTTGGAGTCCGAAGTGAAGACAATATATTCTCTGTGCATGCAGCTCAAGCAAACTGATGGAGATAGTCACCGACTCGTCGATGAGAGAACTGTTGGAAAAAAAAAGAGCCATTGGAGTTCCCTTGGAGAAACCCTAGGTTGGAGACTTGGAGAGTTGGACTCTTAAGTAAAATCGATCCTCAGGTGGTTTGCGGACTAATTGACTTCATCCGTTTCGGTCCACCAATTACTTAGGATCAAAATAATATGGACCAGTCCAACCCGATGCCAAAGCATGGACCGTCCAACCCATCCAATTTAAATGCGATTTGGACGGGGTCCAACCCGAATCCAGTCCATTGACACCCCTAGCTGGGAAGGGGTACCAAATGAAGAAGCCACATGGGAGCCTTGCACCGAGCTGATGCAACACTTTCCACACCTTGGCCTCGAGGACGAGTGCCATCTTGAGGAGGGGGGAGATGTTAGAGGCACAAGGGGGCAGGAACTACAAGTATATTCTAGAAGGGGAAGAAAGCCATCTCAGCATAAGGAAGGGAGTGCAAAGATAGCTGGAATTAACTGAATCAAACAAGTTGGCTAGTTGTTACAATTCTGTTGTAAATCAGTTACATAGAAGGCAAGATTGGATATAAATACAGGGTGTACTTACAATAAGAATAATTTGAAGATTTGATCCCTTTTTTCTTCACTCTCACTTTCTCCTATTCTGGAGGTTATCCTCCCTTGAAGAGGATCCGAGTTGGGCAGCTACCCAATACATTGCTTCAACACTTTTTTATAGAGGGAGGTCAATGGTACTTTCCAAATCTATCCACATTCTTGAACTTTAGATATTTCATAACTCATCACTGGGAGGACATTCTAGCATCTTGAGAACTTACAGGTGACTAGTGACTCATTACTATTGGTCGGCCATGAGACAACCCTTGTTGATATTGGAGTAGGTTTGGGATGCAAGTGTCAATTATGGATTTTATATTAGTGCCACTCCCTTTGTCTAGCAAATCAGTTATCCTTATGGCGATAGATTGACTAAGAAAATATGGTCGCCTCACCGCCTTGTCACATCCTTGTAACAATGCTTTAGTTGCCAAGGTTTTTGTACATGGCATAGCTAAGTTACATGGAATGCCTAAGGCAATCATCTCCAACAGAGACCCCACTTTTCTTAGATGATTTTTAAAGGAATATTTCCTGCTAGAAGACATCCACTTTTATCATTTTACCAATTACCACCACCACTTTGATGACCAGACAAAGGTAGTTAACCTGTGCTTGGACCTCTACTTGAGATGTTTCATAGGAGAAAGGTCACAACACTGGATGAAATGGTTACCTTGGACAGAGTTTTAGTACAACAAATCTTTTCATTTAGTTGCTGACACAAATCCCTACGAGAGGGGGTCTCTGCTAGTCCTGCGTTATGAAAAAGTGGCTTCTGCCAATGAGAACCTGACCTCTCAATGATCTTAAAGCTCTCAAGATCAGTCTCATAAGAGCAAAGCAGAAAATGAAAGCTTACTATGACTGATGGCATCACCAAGTGGTGTTTTAAGTAGTCGAGTTAGTCTTCTTAAAATTTCAGCCTTACCAACAAACTTCGATGGTGAAGAGGACATGGTATAAACTCTTGTCTAGATACTATGGGCCCTTCAAGATCCTGGAGAGAGTGAGAACAATTTCCTATTGGCTGGACTTACCAGAGAGTTCGAAGCTACACCATGTCTTCCATGTATCACTCCTTAAAAAAAGTGTGGAGTAATAGACCAAAGTAACTCCCTCCTATCGAAATTCATTGAAGAAGGCAATCTGAAGATACAACCACAAGAGATTCTAGACAATTGATGGTAAAGATCGAAAAGAAAATTGTTAAAGAACCTCAAGTATCATGGACAGGCTTACCACCAGAAGGTTCAGCATTGGAGAGGTACACATTGCTGCAACAACAATTTCCCTTGCTTGACAAGGTTGATCCTAAGGAGGGGGGAGCTGTTAGGACCCCTGAAGTGCCCAGTGCAGCTCACAAGAACAAGAGCTGGGGCTGGAGCTGGAGACATTGCAGGATCCGACTAACAGTCTAAGCCTCCTATCAAGCAAGTATATTCTAGAAGACCATGTCAGGCCAACTAAGCTGTCAGAATATGTTATTCGAGTATAAAATAATCAGAGTTACTTATGCCATGTAAGGGCCAAAGCTGTATAAGCAATGACCCCTGAAGAATAAGGACCGAACAAGTCTTCCACCTCTCAACTTCTCTCTTTCTTCTGTAAGGAGGAAGTCTTTCCCCTCAAAGAGCACCTGAGTTTGGGAAGTTAYCCAACACAGATTAAGCTTGACATTGAAGGTAGTAGTGTAGGCAATCTAAGAAGATTATGTATAGGTGGGGTCTTTAGGCAGTTAAAGCCTTTGTTGTCATGAAGAATACCTCTTGAGGTGGTTAAAGATGATTGAAGAGGGGATGGAGCTTAATCTTGAATGTTCAATGACACTCTCCTAAGATGGGAGGAAACTTTACTTAAGGTGGGAAGGTAACTGTTCCCAATATTTATGCTTTAACGGGCTCATATTCAGGTCTAAAACTAAACAAGAGGCATGCCTCACCAAAATTTTCTCTTTGTTGATGATTAATATGCAGTCATCATCAAAGTTGTTGCTGTTCAGTGGGTTTACAGAGCTGCCAATGGTTTGGGAGATGGGTTAGCAAGACAAGGGGTAAAAAGTTTCTCTTCTGGGGGGGATGGGATTTCTACTTGATGTCTTGATGTACTGTTTATCTGATTAGAACAGCTCTGGGTTAGGGCATCTCAACCTCTGGGATGGCTGATTGCTTGTACTTTCAATATTTTTCTCTTAATGAAAGTGTTCTGATATTTATTCATAAAAAAAAAAACAAAATATGCAATCGGCAGGATGAAGTTCTTGCTCCAGTTTGAAAGCCATAGTGCTATCACCCCAACAGGGAAATGGAGGTACTAATATGTTAAAGCTGCTTCTTATTTCAGAGATTCTGATGATGCACAAATCTGCTTATACAAAAAAACAAAAAAACAAAAAAAAAAAAACAAAATATGCTGTCAGCAGGATGAAGTTCTTCCCATTCTGAATGCATTTATACTACCATCTGGGATTTTCAGATGCAGCACGCTCCAGTTTGACAGCCATAGTTCTACCACCCCAACGGGGAAATGTAGGAAGTAATATGCTAAAGCTGATTCTTATTTCAGAGGCTCTGAAGATGCACAAATCTGCATATACCATCTTGTCCTTTTGGTATCACTTTTATATATTTTCACTATGTTTGCATAGTGCGTGCATGTAATTGAAATTTGAAAAGTTAATACATATGATGGTGGATCCTATTGGTGTTTTTTTTTTTTTGCTTTGACATGATTTTGGATGGCATGTGCATGATGTCAATGATAAGTTTATTTTTTTGGGTCTCATAAATATGCTTTTATGATTCACATTATTTAAGTTCTTTTGTTAATGATACACTAAACTACATAAAACCCTTGGGATTTCAGGAGGGAAGAATGAGGGGTCAAGCTTTTCTGACATTTCCATCAGTTGATCTTGCTCATCGTGCACTGGTGTGTACCTTATTGAACTATTGTTTAAATATAGTTCTCTTCCTTTCTGAAAGTAGGCAAGTAATTCATGGAATGACTAAAAAAAGAGTTAAAATAATACATTTTCTAACAATAGAAGGATTCAAAAAAGCATCAACTTTAGATCTTCCAGGGGCAGAGCAAAGGAGGCAAGGGACATTGCCCCCTAGCTATTTATGAAAGAAAATGCAAGTTCTTTTGTAGTTCTACACTGCAGCACACAATAATTTTCTAAAAAGTTCTTAATAACTCAAATTTAAAAAGAAATAGTTAATATGTCACCTACAATTTAAGAGAGAGATTTGTTGGAAAACGTGGGGTTACTGGTGCAGATCTATATTTGGTAGTTGTGTAAAAATAGAATTGTATATGTTCCTAGGATTGTGGAAGGATTGATTTAGAAAGTTTTTCTTTCTATTTATTTATTTCTTTTCTTGTACTTTCTATTTTCTTTTCTTTCTATTTTTCTACTTTCTATTTTCTTTTCTTTCTATTTATTGCAGCAGCTTACTGTATAAATATGCCGATTGGCAATAGAATGAAATACATCAGTATTCTACCATT